TTTCCTAATATATTTGATATTGACAATCTTCTAGAAATCATACTTATTTCCATAATCTTGGTTTTGTCATATGGACCGTTCAATCTCGGTCGATCTCGACTTCTCGATCTCCCAATATTTAAGTCTATTTAAAAAAAAAAAAAAACCTGATGCGAATTGTTGATGCATATGATCACATGATAATGAACTACTAATGATTGCACAAGAAGTCGTTGCTTATTGTATGCTATGAGCGTGCGGATTTGACATCATTAACGAGTATAAAGCTTCCATTTGTTAAAATATTTATGGGAAAAGTGATGATGAATTGATAATGGTGACACTAATAACAATATACTAGATTTTGACCCGCACTTTGTGCGGGAACATACGTTTTTTATGTTGTAAGCTAAAATTTCGGTGTTCATACGATCGTGAAATTTTTACTGTTTTCCTTATTTACTATATAAATTTTTGTGTTTTATTAGGGAGCTTTACTAAAACAATTTTAGAAAGTTAAGTTTTGACCAAAATGATACTATTCTTTGAAAATTACTCAAACAATTTTGAAAAACTATTAATACCCGTTTTAATCTTATTTTTTTTGAAGAGAAAAAACGTATTTACGAAACTGCCATTAATGAGGCAGCGAATAAGTCTACCGTTCATGTGATGGTAGATTTATTTGCAATTGGTAGATTTATTAAGTGGTTGGTAGACTTATTTATAGTGGTGGTAGATTTATAAAATGTGGTAGACTTATTTGTAGTAGTGGTAGATTTAATTTTGTGATCGGTAGACTTATTTCTAGTGGTGGTATAGTTAATTTTGTGAACGGTAGACTTATTGATGGTTCGCGTAATCGTAGACTTATTTATAGTGGTAGATTTATTTTTGAGTGATAGAGTTATTAGTAGTAGTGGTAAAGTTAATTTTGTGATCGGAAGACTTATTGATGATTTGCGCAATTGTAGACTTTTGATAGTGGTGGTAGATTTATAAAATGTGGTAGACTTATTTGTAGTAGTGGTAGAGTTAATTTTGTGATCGGTAGACTTATTTCTAGTGGTGGTAGAGTTAATTTTGTGATCGGTAGACTTATTGATGGTTCGCGTAATAGTAGACTTATTTATAATAGTAGTAGAGTTATAATATGTGGTAGACTTATATATTGTAATGGTAGATTTATTCAATCTTTTCACCTTTTTACTAAAACAACCTTAGACTTTTATATAGTTACGGTAGATTTATTTATAGTAGTGGTAGATTTATAATATGTGGTAGACTTATTTATAGTACTGGTAGACTTATTTATAGTAGTGATAGATTTATTCAATAAAGGGTAAAATCATAATTTACCCTTCATCTTCTCCACAACACCAAGTTTCTCTCAAACCCTTACAATAGCGGCCATCCACTTTTTAGCGCGTTTTTCTGTATTTTAACTCGTTTTCAACTGAATTTTGCCTAAAACTAGTAGATCTAACATCATATATCCATTTTCTAACAAAAAATCAAAAGATTTTGAGTTTTTTTTTCAACTTTTGATTTTTAATCCAATTTTTACCTAAATCTCGGTACTTCCTAGCCTCCACACCTCCGCCGAGCACGATCCGGTGGAGGCTGCGGTTTCAAAAAAATGTTTGATTTTTTTTATTTTTTATTTATAAATTATGAATGGCATTTTCGTAATAAAAACTTGTTACTAAAGTTTATTTGTTTTTTATAACTTGTGTTAAGTTTCAAGGTTGAATAAAAATTGTTCTAATAATTAACCTACTTTAGTAATTATCTCCTTTTTTTAACACAAAACAAGTACATGATCATCCGCATTGAAATAATTGATTTTTTTTTATTGTTAGTTAAAATATGGATTTTTTTTTTC